CGCAGAGGCTAGACAAGGTCGTCGAGGATGCATTGCAAGGGACTGGATTCACCTTTGCGAGCACAGCATGAGCCACCCTTGGCTTATATTGAGTACTGGTTGCAAACTGCAGAATATCAAGATCAACTAGTTTGGTCGGTATTGCTGGTTGCTGGTTGCAGATATCATAGCAGCCACGGTGAGCATTGTGCTTCAGTAATGGAGGGAAAATATGGACTTCATCCTACCGGGAGGTAAAGTATGTACAAATCATTAGTATAATAGTAATAACTTTGTTGCAAATCATAGTTTGTGGCATCTTGTCACACCAAAACAGTATGCATTATACTATGTAAAATCCATCGTAAATTCATGCAGTTGGCCAAAACGAGTATTCCACCAAAGAATAAGTAAAAAAAACATTTATATTTAATTAAAAAGAGAAGAAAGAAAAAGAAGCAAACCAAATGAAACCAAAGAATAAAGAAATAAAGAAAATAACGGAACACGCCTCATGGCGTGCGCTGATACCGCAGCTGCAGGGACAAAACCAATTGGGCGGGCAGAATAGAGAAAGAGAGCGTGGCCAGGACAAAATCAATTGGGCCGGCAGAATAGAAAAAGGCGGCAAGCGGCGAGTATAAATATTTCAGCTCGCAGACCGCAACTCAGCCCCCTGTTCTGTCCTCAAGCAGGCTTGCAGGTTGCAGCTGCATCTGGAGAAACGCCGGAAGTTCGCCGGCAGGCGATGGGCCCTACCTCCACGTCGTCGCAGCGTGCTCGTGTCCTTGTCAGGTGCGCAGTATCCTACTCTGTTCCCCCTTCTTGTCATTCTCATCTCTCCCATATTTTTTTTTCTTAAACACGTAAAAGGTTTACGCGTCTTTATAGTAAAATAGAAATAGTTGTTTATAACACATCTTTAACAGCGCTTTAGGGGTGGCTTACAAGGAATGACATTAACACATTTGCCCCCTAGTGTACATCTTGTCTTATGAGATTACATTGGACAATAAACAACCAAGGTTCTTGGCGCGCCTCTTGCCAGAACCCACTGCTTCAACTCGTGCTTGATAACTGTTGGTCCACAGGATCACCGGCTCAGGTGAGTTGATCACTGACTAATCTTGTCGATCACGACAAACGTTGTCTGACCACACACTATGGCTAGAGGTAGAAGACGGGAGGGAGAACAGAGCATACACACACAGCAGAGACACCAACGTTGGTCGGAGCTCTGTATAGAAGATGGCAAGACTGAACTCTCTCTTTACTGAGTTACAGTGGCAAACTATATATACAACTCTTTCTATCTAATCCTAGTACAGCTTGCCATGCTGTAACAGTGACTAGATAACATAGCAGGACTGACTCTGGCGCCTGCTCGCTGCTGTAGCTACAGTGCGGCAGGTGAGCCGTTCAGCGCTTGCCCCTGCTGTGGCTACAGTACCACAGCAGGGAGCCTTTTCAGCGCCGCCTTTCCTTAGCGTGCGTTTACACAGGAATGCAGCAGATAATCTAACAATTTTTCCCCTAATCCTACTTCTAACCCTTGAACCCCTCCATGCCAACCATCTCCTTCAACTCCGTGAGTCGAAGACGGTCGAGTGGCTTGGTGAGGACGTCCGCGAGTTGTCGACCAACTCGATGACGATCTGTCCTCCATCGACACAGTCCCTAAGAAAGTGGAACTTAACGTCGATGAGCTTTGCTCCGGTTATGGAGAATCGGATTCTTCGCGAGGGCGATGGCGGGCTGGTTGTCCACCATCAGTGCTGGTGGGTGAGCTTCCACACCGGCCAGCTCGCCCAGCAGCCGACGCAGCCACATAACTTGGCACGCCACTGTGCCTGCTGTTATGTACTCTACCTCGCACGTAATAGCGCCACCACCTTCTGTTTCAGCGACAGCCATGAAATTGGAGCCGACACGAGGAAGACGAGCACGCCAAAGGTGCTCCGCCGTCCGTCGATGTCCCCCGCCATGTCTGCATCACTGAACACAGTGAGCTGCAGCCTACTTCCGCCGGACTTGGGAAAGATGATCCCCTGATCCATCGTCCCCTTGATGTAGCGCAGTAGTCGCTTCACTGCAGCCCAGTGATCCTCTTTGGGATCCTCCATGAAGCGACTGACGTAGCCCATGACGAACACAATGTCCGGCCTCGTGTGGACTAGATAGCGCAGACCACCGCCGATGCTCTGGTAGAGTATTGTATCTACCTTCGCCGCAGTACTGGCCTTTGTCAGCTTCAGCCACTCCTCCATCAGAGTCACGCACGGCTTGCATTTAGCCATGCCGCTCCTTTCCAACAGCTTTGAGGCGTACGCGCTCTGACCGAGCGTGAATGCCTCCTTCCCCTGTCTCACCTCGATGCTGAGGTAGTAGGAGAGCGCACCGAGATCTCTCATTCGAAAATGAGTCGCCATCTCGCGCTTCAAGGTGTGGATGTCCTCCGCACGCGCGCCGATGATGATCAAATCGTCCACATACATGCCGACGACGAGCTCCTCCTTCCCCGTCGCCGCGTGTAGAGCGCGTGCTCGGTTGCGCACCTCGTGAACCCAAGTTCGCCCAACGTGGCGCCAAGCTTGGCATTCCACGTTCGTGGGGCCTGCCGCAGCCCGTAGAGCGCCTTACGCAATCGGAAGCACCCTGTGCTCTGCTCCCTTGATGGTGAAACCCAGAGGTTGCCTGACGAAGACCGTCTCCGCCAGCTCGCCGTTGAGGAAGATCGATTTTACGTCCAGGTGATGGCCGCGCCAGTCCTTTACTGCTGCCAAAGCTAGTAGCAAACGGACAGACTCTATGCGCGCTACTGGCGCAAAGACTTCCTCGAAGTCGATACCCTCACGTTGAACAAAGCCTCGAGCGATGAGGTACGCCTTGTGCTTGACAATAGCGCCGTGCTGTGGTGAGGACGTCCGCGGATCACCGTCTCAAGTGAGTCGACCACTCACCAGTCTTGCCGACCACGATAAACGTTGTCCAACCACACACTATCAACCTGTTTGCTTGTTGGTTTCAGCCAGCCCAAACCAGCCAGCCAACAGTGTTTTTCTCTCACAAAAAACCAGCACCAGCCAGCCCAAACCAGCACCAGCACCAGCACCAACCAGCGAACATGCCCTATGGCTAGAGGTGAAAGAAAGGAGGGAGAACAGAGCATACACACACAGCAGAGACACCAGCATTGGCCGAAGCTCTGTATAGGAGATGAAAAGACTGAATTCTCTCTTTACTGAGTTGCAGTGGCAAACTATATACAACTCTATCTATCTAATCCTAGTACAGCTGTCATGCTGTAACAGTGACTAGATAACACAGCAGGGCTGACTCTGGCGTCTGCTCCTATCCTGCTGCTCAAGCATCTTGACAGTGAGCTGTTCAAGGCAGCCTCTAGCTGTGGTACGGTACCCCTCTTTATGCGCCTTCTCTTACCGCGCGTTTACACAGCAGATTATCTAAGCGCGTGTTTAGTTCCATGAATTTGGAATTTGGGGCTACTGTAGCACGTTCGTTTTTATTTGGCAATTAGTATTCAAACATGGACTAATTAGGCTTAAAACGTTCGTCTCGCAATTTCCCACTAAACTGTGCAATTAGTTTTTTTTCGTCTACATTTAATGCTCCATGTATAGACCGCAAACATTCGATGTGACAGGTACTGTAGCACTTTTTAGGAATTTAGGGTGAAACTAAACAATGGCTAACAATAACAGTGATGATCTAGTGGAGGTCGGTGGAGACCCCACGGAAGCACCTCGCGCTACGCTCCTTCTATAGCTCCCATGCTATGAGGGCGAAGGCTGAGTCCGCGCCGCGTCTATTGTTTCCAGCTCACAGGGATCTCCAAGCAGTCCACCAATCGAAGATTGTGGCTTGGCCTGCAAAGCCCTGTGGCTGTTCGAGCCTATCAAGAATGGTCCACCGCACTTGCTTGCTGAATGAGCATGATACTACAATGTGGTCAATGGTTTCCTGCTCTTGATCGCAGAGGAAGCATGCTTCGTTTGCCTCCAGGCCGTGCCGTCTCTCCCACATTTCTATCTGGATAAGGTTTGCCAATTGGAAGCTGGAGACACTTGATGCAGTTCCTGTAACGATCGGCTAAGCCTAGGCCTCGTCAACGCTATTAGTTCATAGCTGGGTCTTCATTTATGTGCTTATTATTTTAAGTTTACCTATAGAATGATGATTGGCGTTGCTGATTGTTAAGGGCCAGCTCCAGAGCAGCTGCTAGGGCGAATCATCCAAACGGTATAGTGGAGTGATTTTGTGGACATGTTTTTATAGATGTATTTGCAGATTAAAAAAAAACTATAGGGCACTGCTCATCCTCTCCCGAAGGATGGGAGATGCATGCCAATAAAAAAAATATTCAAATGAGGGTAAAACTAAAATGAAAATTAAGCAGTGACAAAGGAACATAACATAGGCATTATTGGTAGCACGTATATCTTTAGCTATTTAACCTGTTATACATGCAAGATTTGTAGCAGTCCGTCCCTATACTCATGTGGTTCAAATGGACAGTTGGGTAGCCAAGAAATTGCCAGAACTATAGCTCGCTCAATGCTTGACGCTTGGCCTTCATTTGAGCCGGCTTGCCTACTTCAGACTTTGGAGCAATAATCCAATCTTTTGCAAGACTGTGTTGTGTTGAATTTCCGAACACCTTTTAAGCTTTATATCCTAGGATCCTTTAGCCTGAGCAGTTCAGAGTACAGCCTTGTTTCTTCCCGGGTACTTCTTAATGTGACTTGGACCTGCAGTATTGCTCAATTGTTAGTGACTTGCAATGCAATCAATTTCAGCGGTAATGTTCATTGAATCATGTCTGATCAGATGGTGATGAATGTGTGTACCGTACCTCTGTTGATCTCTTATATCTCAGTTAACTTCTCGCTGTTTTCTACTTTAAGCTGAGAAGATCAGGTTTTCTCATAACATCCCTCTTGTTCACCCCCTTCTGCATATGCAGGCTGCAACAAGCAACTGGACGCATAGTGCAAGTGACAATGGCATTCAGGCACTCGGAGGACGATGCACAAGAAGCTGCAACGCCGGTGACGATGCATCACGTCAACGTGGCCGGGATCATCCCTTTGCTGATCCTGGAGACTAGGTGGCCATCGTTCCGGCTCCGCCATTATGCCTGCTTTTGGGTGCCTGAGGTAAAAATATTGCAGATAGGCATCCCGGCCATCCATTCCTGCTTCAAGCCAAGACCCACCGACGTGTTCCTTGCAAGCTACCCCAAGTCTGGCACCACTTGGCTCAAGGCCCTCGCCTTCGCAACCCTGAAGCGTTCCACGCATCCGCCGTGCGACAACAACCATCCGCTGCGCCATTGCAGCCCCCACGACATTGTCAGGTTCATCAAAATAGAATTCAACACAAAGGATGAGTTTGAAGTGCTCCCTTCCCCGCGCGTGCTGGCCACACACCTTTCCTACTCCTTGCTGCCTAACTTCATCACCGGGGAGCACTCAGGGTGCCGGATCGTGCACATATGCCGAGAACCCAAGGATGCTCTAGTCTCATTCTGGTTGTTCACAAGGAAGATGGCGTCGGCGTGGGGAGTTGATGCGCAGTCATTCACGATCCAGGAGGCGTTCGAGCTGTTCTACCAAGGCCGCTGTTCTGATGCCCCCCACAGTGGCAGCATGTCCTCTGGGAGGAGAGCGTGAGGAGGCCTGACAAGGTACTGTTCCTTTGATACGAGGAAATGTTGTATGAGCCTGAGACACACGTCAAGAAGCTAGCAAAGTTCATGGGCTGTGAATTTTCTGAGGAAGAGGACGAAGGAGGGGTGGTGGGAGCCATCATGGACCTGTGCAACCTTGGCAAGTTGAGGGACACGGAGGTGAACAGAAATGGAAGCACTAGCTGGGGGTTCAAGAACGAAAGCTTCTTCAGGAAGGGTGTTGTTGGAGACTGGAGCAATCACATGACGCCAGAGATGGCGTAGAGGCTGGACAAGGTCGTTGAGGATGCATTGCAAGGGACTGGATTCACATTCACGAGCACAGCATGAGCCACTCTTGGCCCATGTACGGTACTAGTTGCAAACTGCCGAATGTCAAGATCAGCTAGTTTTATCAGTATTGCTGGTTGTAGAAATCATGCCACCCATATGGTGAATATTCTGCTTCTCAGTGATGGAGGAAAATTGTGGACTTCACCTTACAGGGAATTAATTTTTGTACAACCCATTTGTAGTTTGTGACATATTGTCACATCCGAGTGTGTGTATGTATGAGTGTTTGTGTATGTATTGTATAATTTGTAAAAAGAAAAATCATGTGTTACTATGTAAATACACCATAAATTCACGTGAAGCGGGGCTTAATCGAGTCTTGGAGACTCTTTGGTGCCGCAACGTGGACTAGGGGATTGTGGCAACAATCCAATACCACCGAAAAATTCAGTTGTCTCTTTTCCTTGCTCATTGCTTGCTTTACTTCTCGTTGATCGCAAGTTCCTTTGTGTGGTAACTAGGATTGATTTGTGGGTGTGATCATGAGCATTTTTTTCGCGACCGTGTCGTGGCACATATTTCATTAAGAGAGGGTAGAAAAGGCCAAATACAAAGTCACAAAAAAGAGCAAACAGAACGGCAAACACAAGATTACCAGACTGTAGCTCAACTGACAACACATACAATGCTATTACATAAAAGCTTAAGCGACAGCAGACTATCCTTCACACTAGAGGAGCACCAACAACGTCCAAAGGCATGCATATCCCGCTGTAGACCACAATCTCCTCGAGCGCAGTTGAATTGGCTGAGTACTCGGTCCACCAAAAGTTCTCATGATTCTTTCCTTCCAAATTGACCAACCGACGAGGAACGCTAATGAATCAAACCCCGCTAGCCTGCAACCACCAGGAGAAGAAGCTTTCTTGGTGAACGTTGATGACTGAATCAAGGTGAAGCCTTCTCAGAATCATGGACTAGATTTCTCTACTAAAGACACATCCAAGTAGAAGGTGATCCATAGACTCTGAACTCTGCGCACATAGGATGCATTCATCCGATTGCTACAAACCATGGCGTCGATGCTGCTCCACTTTAGTTATGTATCTTATTGGTTGTATCAAATGATGTGTGAAGGTCTTGATGGACTTGGTTAGTTTGTTCCTGAAAGTGTAGTAGAATTGGGGAGATGAGTGATGCATTAATCAGAGACCGGTGGTGTGTACATATAGGCGTCGCGCGGAGCCAGAATGGCAGGCCCATGAGCCAGAAGTGTTGTAGCACGCTTACATTCTAACAATCCCCCGCAGTCTAAACTGGGAGCACCTCGAACATTAAGACTGGATCTAAACTCTGTAAAAACAAACGTCGACAAGCCTTTGGTGAAGTTATCAACGTACTGGGATGTTGTTGGAACATGTAGAACACGGACTTCTCCAAGGGCGACGCGGTCATGGACGAAATGCAAATCAATCTCAACGTGTTTGGTCCGCTGGTGCTGAACGGGATTGGTGGACAAGTAAACAGCACTGACATTATCGCAGTACACAATAGTGGCCCGCTGAAGAGGGCAATGGAGCTCATGTAGTAGTTGGCGCATGCAGCTAAAATGCCTCGGCGACTCCATTGGCAATTGCTCTCCACACTAGATCTGGAAACTGTTGCCTGACGCTTGGAAGACCAGAAAATGAGATTGTCCTCTAGGAAGATGCCGTACATAGAGGTGGAACAACGGGTGTTTGGGCAACCAGCCCAATTTGCATCAGAATATCCAGTGAGATCAATAGGCGAGGTGGGAAGCAGATGAAGACCAAGATCCATGGTACCCTGCACATAGCGCAAGATGTGCTTCATGGCAGCGAGGTGTGGCTCTCTCGGATCATGCATGTGAAGACAGACATGCTGAACAACATAAGCAATGTCAGGGCGCGTGAAGGTGAGATACTACAAGGCATCGGCAATGCTATGAAACTATGTGACATCAGGCACTAAAACACCATCAACAGACATCTTGGCGTGAGTATCAACAGGGTGCTGCAGGCTTGCATTCACACATAACATCATGTACTGCTTCTGAGAGAGGAACAAACCATCAGCTTGCCATTCAATATATACCCAGGAAGTGGTGAAGAGAACCCATATCTATTATAGAGAATTCTTTCATGGGCCTAGCCGTGACGGGCTACGAAGGTGTCAGGCCCAAGCCGGGCCAATCGGGCCTAGTGTGAACAGTACCCACGGGTACTGTAGCATGGGTACTACAACGCGCACTGTATCAAGAATAATTTAGGGTAAAACCTCTACCTCCCTCTCCTCTCCTATCACCGCTACCCTCCTCTCCTGCTCGTACGCGCACCCACCCTGCCCTAGCCGCACCGCTCTCCCTTGCAACAGGCGATGGCGGCTACCGCCGTCGCCACCCCATGCCACTCGCCGTTCCACCACCCGCCAGGCGGCTACAGCTTGTTGCTACCGCCGTTCCCTCCCTCCCTCTAGGCATGGCCAGGCCTAGGGCTGCAGTTCCTCCCCTCTAATCCCCCAATTCTACCTCTAAACCTTCCGGTGAATTAGTACCATGATAGAATTCCCGCTGAAGAGCTACAATAATCTGTCAAGAAAACTCTAGGATGAGGCTGTGAGAACAATATCATCACATAGAGAAGCAAGAAGGTCATGTCCGCACCTCGATGATAGATGAATAGGGAAGTGTCTGCCTTCGCCTCAACAAAGTCGAGAGAGGTGATGTGAGAAGTGAAGCGACTGTGCCAAGCGCGAGGGGCATGCTTTAATCCATACAATGAATTGTTCAACCGACACACATAATTGGGCTAAGAGGAGTCAACAAAATCTGATGGCTGCTCACAGTAGACTATCTTAGTCAAAGTCCCATGAAGAAATGCGTTCTTAAAATCCAACTGATGAATTGGCCAAGAGCGAGATAGTGCCAGTGTAAGAACCACCCGGACTATAGCTAGCTTCACGATCGGACTGAAGCTCTCCTCATAATCAATCCCTTGTCATTGGGTGAACTACGAAGAAACCACCTGGCTTTGTAGTGATTAAGAGAGCCATCAGACAAAAACTTGACACGATAGATCCATTTACCGGTGACGACGTTCACGCCGGTTGGATGGGGGAACCGATGTCCAAGTGTCGTTGGCTAGAAATGCATCAAACTCAGCCTGCAAAGAGGCACACTAGTTCAGGTCAGACAATGCTGAACGGAAGGTCTTCGGGGGCAGAGAAAGGGTCGTCATATGAAGGTTTAGGTGATCAATCGGTTGAATGAAGCCAGACTTGCCTCATGTTTGCATGCCATGGTCATTGGTGATAGGAACCACAGCTTGCGGCAATGTGGTGGCGGTGCGGCCAATTCTGCTGGCAGCAACCCGGATAAGATGTCCGTAGGGGCAGGAGAACTAGACGTAGTGTGGCCGCCTCAGGAGCCAGCACCTGGTGCGGTGGCACTGCCTAGGCCAGAGCTGAACTCCATGGCAGGTGTGCGCTGCACGGGCATAGGAGCAGGAGCGGTAGGCATGGGTCCGTGGGCACCAGTGTTGCCGTAGGTGAGGGGACATGAGGCGCTGACGTGTTGGCACCAGGCGTAGCAGGAGCTAGCATGCCAAGATGAAAGTGCATTTATCCCCTATGTGGGTTTTGGTTTATTGATGATATCCAAATTAGGGACTAATGAGACTTAAATGAGATGTATTGCAGCTTTAGTCCCATGAAAGTTTTAAAGACCTGATCTAAGATGAAATGTTGTCCCTCAATTCTTGAAGTATAAAGGTTGGATGAACTCAAAGCGGATCTTCAAAGTTTACATTTCTCGTTTTGGGTTTAGGTTGGCCGTACTATAAAGAGGATGCAAATTTATGTGGTCTGAGGAAGATAGAGTGCTCAAGTTTAAAAATAAAATCAGAAGAGAGACACTCTAGCACTTCACGAGCACGTAAAATATTTCTCGAAGACTTTTGGTGTCGAAAGTCTCGACGCCCAATCACTTAGCCTGCGTGGTGACTGTGGCCATCGAAGTCCCGACGTGAGTCGGAACTCCCGACAGTCGGTAGTCCCGACGCCTGGACCCTTGGCTGGCCTGCTGACCGCTATCGTCGAAAGTCCCGATGTACGCCAGGAGTTCTGACATTGACTTGCTCATGCTAACTTTGACCTTGTTGTGAATAGTGTTTTCTATAGAGGTCGGAAGTCTCGAGATCTGCGTCGGAACTTCCGACGTATATCTGAACGGTTAGATTTCTGCTTTAAGTATAAATAGCTCTCTCCTCTCTTCTAACCGTTACTCACTCATTCATTGCAACCTACTCACAGCCAAAACAGCTCCCAAGCATTTAGGGCTCCCCTCTCCTCTCCCCTTTGCTCTTAACTTCGATTCTCCCAAGGATTTGAGTGATAGGAGAGTGGATTGAGTGAGAGAATCACTTTGGCAAGCTTGAGCACTTGATTTCTTCATCAAGCCGATTGGATTTGCGTCTATTACTCTTGGAGCTTTGCTCCTAGTCAGCTAGGCATCGCCCAAGAGCTTCCATCTTGTGGAAGAGCCTTGGGAAGTTTGTATTACCCTTGTTTTTTTAGTAGAAAGCTAAGGTGATAAAAGCTCTAGTTTGTTTTTGGTGAATTAATGAAACACTAAGTGCTAACCTAGTTTATCAAAGTGATTGTGAGATAGGTAGCACTACTCCGAGTGGTGAA